TGTGTGTGTGTGTGTGTGTGTGTGTGTGTGTGTGTGTGTGTGTGTGTGTGTGTGTGTGTGTATGTGTGTGTGTGTATATGTGTGTGTGCGTGTGTATATGTGTGTGTACTCACCTATTTGTACTCACCTATTTGTGCTTGCAGGATCGAGCATTGACTCTTGGATCCCGCCTTTCCAGCTATCGGTAGTTTACAGCAATGACTCCTGTCCCATTTCCCTATCATACCTAGTTTTAAAAGTATGAATAGTATTTGCTTCCACAACCTGTTCCCCAAGTGCATTCCATTTTTCCACTACTCTCACGCTAAAAGAAAACTTCCTAACATCTCTGTGACTCATCTGAGTTTCCAGTTTCCACCCATGTCCCCTCGTTCTGTTATTATTACGTGTGAACATTTCATCTATTTCCACTTTGTCAATTCCCCTGAGTATTTTATATGTCCCTATCATATCTCCTCTCTCCCTTCTTTTCTCTAGTGTCGTAAGGTTCAGTTCCTTCAGCCGCTCTTCATATCCCATCCCTCGTAACTCTGGGACAAGCCTCGTCGCAAACCTCTGAACCTTCTCCAGTTTCTTTATGTGTTTCTTCAGGTGGGGGCTCCATGGTGGCGCGGCATGATGGCGTGTGTGTGTGTGTGTGTGTGTGTGTGTGTGTGTGTGTGTGTGTGTGTGTGTGTGTGTGTGTGTGTGTGTGTGTGTGTGTGTGTGTGTGTGTGTGTGTGTGCGTGGAAGTGTATGTGTATGTGTGTGTGTGTGTTTAAGAGTGTGTGTGTTTAAGAGTGTGTGTGTGTGTGTGTGTGTGTGTGTGTGTGTGTGTGTGTGTGTGTGTGTGTGTGTGTGTGTGTGTGTGTGTGTGTGTGTGTGTGTGTGTGTGTGAAATAAATGGACTTAAAGGTATCCCAAAGGAATTGAAACTAAGAGACCCAGAAGGAATCAAGAAGCAGCAGTCACCCAAGAGGAAGCAATGAGAACAGGACAAAGACAAATTACAGATTAATGAAGGAAAAGAGAAGAGAGGAGACGAAGAGAACTAAGAAGATGCAAGGGGGGGGGGAAACAAAAGACAAAGGGAGCAATACTGTAGCACAGGAGCAAGTTCAAGTTACAGTGAACAAATATAACCAATCAGATATACAGAAAACAAGTGAGGGGACTCATAGAATAATAATGAAGCACAGACAACGCTACAGAGAGGCACAGAGCTACAGTTCCAAGGAAAGACAGAAAGAATTAAGGCTAAGAAGAAACGAGGTTGAAAGGGGAGGAACCGAGAACCAGGAAGAAGCATACAAATATTGAAAGAACTGATGATAACCGTAGACAAATAGAAATTACAAAATACAGCACCGAGAACCAGAAGAAACCCTTAGAAAGAGGGAGAAGCAGCTAATAAAATTAAAAAAAAAAGATATCTATGGAGACATTCTAGGTATTATAACTATATATATTAGTAATATAGCTATTACCCTTGATATAACTAGGGAGATCAAGTACATACTGAGAATCAAAACCAGTGAGCTTCACTGAGAATCAAAAGAAGAAGGGGGAGATTACTGAGTATGAAGGGAACAAAGGAGACTTACTGTCAATCAAGAGAACCAGAGTGACATAATGATAATGAGAAGAACGAATAAGGTGACAATTGAACCATAGGAGTGTACAGAGAATCCAGAGAGAAGCCCTGAGAACCATTAAATACAGAACCCTGAAGGAAGACCTGAGAACCAGAAAATACAGAACCCTGAAGGAAGCCACAGAACAAGGAAATAGAAGATAACCCGTTAAGGCCCAAAGAAAAAGAAATCAGAGAACCACGAAGAAACGTATAATCATACAGAACCCCCAAATCAGGAAAATCAGATAACCAGGAAAATCTTTATAAAACTTTGATGCAAAGAACCAATACTGTATTAATAATAGATCAATAAATATAAAATACAGTAAGCTAATCAAAGATTACTCACCATAAAAGACCCAGAAGAGGTACAAAGAACCGGGAAGAATAACAAACGAATGGAAAAATGTACAGCAAATTAGACAATAAAAAACAATAACGCCTAAGCAAGTAAGAAAACACAAGAGAACAGAAAATATAACCCAGAAATAAATGTCTAGGAACCCAGAAGCTACAAACCAGTAATTAAATAGATGAAAAGAAATAGTAAATTTAGAATATATATTGCAAATGAATAGGCTACAAATCTACTGTTGTACACTCACAAGATAAGTCTACTGCTGTACACTCACAAGATAAATCTACTGCTGTACACTTACAACATGAATCTACTACTGTACACTCACAAGATGAGTCTACTACTGTACACTCACAAGATGAGTCTACTACTGTACACTCACAAGATGAGTCTACTACTGTACACTCACAAGATGAGGCTACTACTGTACACTCACAAGATGAGGCTACCACTGTACTCTCATGAGATTGAAACAGAAAATGTCAGGTGCAACAATGAGTGTGTTACAGTTAGAATGGTACATTACACTGGCAGATCATACTAGCATACAAAGTTACAGAAATTAAGTTACAGAAATGTTAATCATACAGAACCCACTGTGATAGGGCCAATTAGGCTGATATTGACTTATTCATCACCAGAATCATCATGGTGGGAAAAACCGAATTACGGACTGAAGTAGAATGAAAATAAGATAATAAAAATTAGTTAAAATATAAGCCCTTCTCAATAATTAAAACACCGAGAATATATTATTAAAAAAAACACTTAACCGTATTCTACCGAAATTGCAAACTTGCTGGAATGTCATGTATATATGATACTACTAAGAAAATTTTTTTTTAGCTGGGTAGAGCTTAAAAGTGTGACACAGAAATATGTGGACATGACGAGCAAAGCATGCTGCACGTTCCTTTGGCACTGGCTCTCATGCGACCTCTACTTGGCACTTAAAACAGCCTTCTCTGTGACACTCAATTCCCCTTGGCACTTGTCCCTCCTGCATCCTCATTTTTAGTATTCTGCCCTCTCCTGTGTCCTGCTTGACACTTACCTTCATGTGACACCCCGCCATTCCCCTTGGCACTCACGCCTCCTGCAGCCTCCCCTTGGCACTCACTCCTGCAGCCTCCCCCTTGGCACTCCTGCAGTCTCCCCCTTGGCACTCACCCCTCCTGCAGTCTCCCCCTTGGCCCTCACCCCTGCTGCAGTCTCCCCCTTGGCACTCACCCCTCCTGCAGCCTCCCCCTTGGCACTCACCCCTGCTGCAGCCTCCCCCTTGGCACTCACCCCTCCTGCAGCCTCCCCCTTGGCACTCACCCCTCCTGCAGCCTCCCCTTGGCACTCACCCCTTCTGCAGCCTCCCCTCGACACTCAGCCTCCCCCTTGGCACTCACCCCTCCTGCCGCCTCCCGCTTGGCACTCACCCCTCCTGCAGCCTTCTCTTGGCACTCACCCCTCCTGCAGCCTCCCCCTTGGCACTCACTCCTCCTGCAGCCTCCCCCTTGGCACTCACTCCTCCTGCAGCCTCCCCCTTGGCACTCACCCCTCCTGCCGCCTCCCGCTTGGCACTCACCCCTCCTGCAGCCTCCCCTTGGCACTCACTCCTCCTGCAGCCTCCCCCTTGGCACTCACTCCTCCTGCCGCCTCCCGCTTGGCACTCACCCCTCCTGCAGCCTCCCCTTGGCACTCACCCCTCCTGCAGCCTCCCCTTGGCACTCACTCCTCCTGCAGCCTCCCCCTTGGCACTCATTACTCCTGCAGCCTCCCCCTTGGCAATTAACTCTCTGGTTTTGTATGACGATTGTTTTGTGGGATGCTTGATTAAGAAATTCGTGTGATTGTGATTTGTTATATTTGAGATATGTATGTGAATAAGAAATGTTTGTGAATTATGTGTAAATAGTAAATGTGAGCAGTGAGTGAGAGACGTGTGAGTGGGTGATATGTGAGTGGGAGATGTGAAACGTTTGTGTGATGTGTGAAAGAGAGTTGTTTGCCAGAGACGTGTTAGATATGAGAGGTGCGAGTGAGTGATGTATTTATGAGCGAGAGATGTGCTGATGGGCTGATTGATAATTTTTAGAGGCGTGTGCTTAAGTTTTGCTGTGAAACGTTTGTAAAGTGTGTGTGTGAGGGCGGGAGCTTTGTGAGAAGAGATGTCGGGGTGGCTATAGTGTTTGTTGCGAGATGTAGAGGTGATATGTGGGCGTTTGTTGAGAGGACAGGTGGGAAGCCCGGGTAGGTAAACTTTTTTGTTGTGATACAACATGTGGCTGGGCGAGATGGCTTTTGCTCTGTGGGACGTGTGGATGAGAGATGGATACTGTGAAGGACATGTGGGTGAGAGATGGATTTTTTTGACGGTCGTGTGGGTGAGAGATGGATTTTTTTGACGGTCGTGTGGGTGAGAGATGGATTTTGTTCTGACGGACGTGTGGGTGAGATGGATTTTTTTGACGGATGTGCGGGTGAGATGGATTTTGTTCTGACGGACGTGTGGGTGAGATGGATTTTTTTGACGGATGTGCGGATGAAAGATGGATTTACGGACATGTGGGTGAAAGATGGATTTTGTTCTGACGGACGTGTGGGTGAGTGGAATTTGTTCTGACAAACGTATGAGAGTGGATTTTGTTCTGATGGGCGTGTGGATGAGGGATGATGAAGGAAGTGTATCAGTCGAGTATTCAATACTTCTCCCCAAAGAAAATAAGATTCCCTTTACTCCTAATCAATACACGTACACGAAACATCATCTTCAATATAAACATTCTAAATTAACCCGTTGCAATGCCCCTTTAATAACGAAGGTTTCAAGGTCTCGCCAGCATCTAGCCCCTTTCTAAGACCAGAGATTTTTCAGGGTCAGCAAAATGAACAGTACTGACTCTGAGAGACTTGGCCTAACCTTCCGTTCTTTGCACGATTCAACATTAAAACTCTTATGAACGTCTGATAGTGAAAAAAAGACTCATTTTTACACAATACTAAATGTTAGGTCATGCACAGGAATTAAGTATTTACCTGCTTCTATCGGGGAAGATATCTCTGGATCGGCGCTTGCACAGGGCGGCGTGATTAGGGCTGGAGGGCGCGTCTGAGGGAGGCGAGGACCCCGTCGACGAGATGGAGTTGTTCCGGTGGCGTTGGCAAGGTTGCCCGGGCACGTCGCCGGCCGGAGTGGGATTGAGGGTAATATTCGTGTTAATGGAGGTGGGGTTATTGTTATTAAGGGCACCAGCGCCTACCGTCACCAGCGTGGGCTTCTGGTTTTTAGTTTTTTTCTTTCTCCTGGTTCTGTTTTCATCGTCTGATTCTGTCGGGGGTGTCCAATCTAGGTCCTTGCGGAGGTGTCCGCGACTACACAAGCAAGAGCACGCCCTATAAGCCAGATCGTACCCGCGTTTTGTCCATAAGTTTTGCAGACGTTGCTTCTCTGACCAGGAGCGTGCACGGCCACACGACCTGAGGAAGGCCAGCACGTGCGTCTCCCACGCAGAGAAGCACTCGCCGTGCATGAGGTTCCCCAGCGTACAGTGCTCGTTGTTACAGTGCACGCGGACACAGCCCGTGGGGGAGTCGAGATTGATGGGCTCGTAGCCCCGGAGACAGCCGCACGCCAGGGGCACGCAGCACCTGGTGGTGGTCACGGCGTTGTGGGCCTCGATCACGCCAGGGTCCAGCAGGGGCAGCTCTGCTCCGCCGGCGCCCCCGCCTGTGTTGTGCCGCTGTCGCTGAGGCATCTTAACCATCTGTCCACAGTCTTGGGAATTGGGCTCTTCCGTCACAGTAAAGTGTCTTGTGTCTGCCGTTCTAGAAGTGTGTGTGTGTGTGTGTCTGGTAATACTCAGGTCTGCTGCAGCAGCCACTGTCCCCCTCCTCCGCCTGCCAGCTCTGCGTGTAGTGTCATCAACTCTCGCACCTCATGTCACGTAGGTTACAGCCGCGCTCCGTCCATGTCCCTGGGTCGTCTCCCGTGACAGACACTAACTGGCTGGCACTACCGCTGCGTCGCTGGCCGCTGCCACTTCAGGCTTCACAAGTCTTCCATTCTTGCTCTCTTGTCGCAACCGACTTGGCAACTGGAACTCAGGCTTTCAAGCTCCTCTGTTTTGGTGCCGTCGGGAGGAGTGGCGTATCCCGCACCGCAAGGGAGAGGCCGAATACTGCGCCCTCATTGGCTGGCGGGCTCCTCGCGGGGCGGGGCTTACAAGCCGGTTCAGCCTCTGATTGGCCGACGCTCTACGACATAACATTACCACGTGGCTCATTCGATTCCGCGGCTACGATAAAACCTTTATTTGGGCAAATACGGAGCTTTTACAGTGCTTCATATTATTTGCATATATGTAAAATATCCGGCATATAATACTGCATTCAATTTACAGCAGACCCCCATCAAAAAGGCCCCGCAAAACTGGAATATATCGCATAGGGGCCTCCGAGCAGCAGGACTTGCGCGGCCGGGCCCCTGCCACCAGCTACGTGGTGGGGTCTCTCCCAGCTCCCTGTGATACGCTATATTTTCTTTACATGTTGCACTCTCCAAAATATTTAGTGTAAAACAAGCCCCGCGCTGACGCCACCGCCGCTTCCGCCAGTACCCAGCGACCTGGCCCCCTCTTACAGCCTGCACACAACAGTACTTCTCTCACAATATATTATTTCCAAGGCCATGTGACTGATAAGAGCAAAGTAGAGCTCCCTTGCTGGTCGCCGGCCCGCGTTGAACACCATAACACATTTATAAGTCTGTTCAATGTTCAATGTTCCCACCACAGACCTCCCTTCCCCCCAAAAAAGAATGACAAGAATGAGGTATTTAATTTCCTCGGCGTTTAATGACCATAGTTCCAAAAAGTCAAATTAAATACGGTGCTTATCCTGATTTTATGGAAATTCGGCGATATGAATGAAGCATTATTGAACAGGGCCAGGCTGACCGATATGTTAAGGAACGATTATCTCACACACACACTCAGATAGTAACAGCCACCCCGTTCCTCCGTGGCTTGTTTCATTAGACTTGGCTCTCGTTTCTCTTCCCTTCGTCCCTCCCGCAGGCCTGGCACACGCGCAGAAAGAATTTGGCCTAATTCATCCGCCACACGGAGGTGACGTACCCAAGTCGGCCACCAACGGCGAGGATCGTGGAGGTATGTAACCATTCTCCTCACTATGGACACCATGACGACATTAAAAAGTCTCTCAATAGGTGCAAGGCTTCTACACACCTTCCACAACCAGCTGGCTACACTAAATCGATTTTTTCGGCTACTTTCTCTGGCCAGTAACAATTCTCAACCAGCACATTAACAGAAGCGAACCTGGAGCTCAACGTTCACGTCATTTGTAGTGCTTGTTAATGCTGTCTTTCAACAGTATACACACGAATGAGTTTTGAAAGTCATAAGGTTACCTGAGTGCTGAGAGAATCTCAAAGACCATTTATCACTTACAACGTCATATTTTATTATTTTATTCCTAATATATATATATATATATATATATATATATATATATATATATATATATATATATATATATATATATATATATATATATATATATATAATATTAATATATATATATTTATATATATATATATAAAATATATATATATAAATATATATATATATTTATATATATATTTATATATATATATATATAAATATATATATATATATATATATATATATATATATATATATATATATATTATATATATATATATATATATATATATATATATATATATATATATATATCTCCTGGGGGTGGCAGGAGAAGACAATATGTGCCAGCACTCCTGAGAGCCCGATAAGGCTGGCCAGGATGCTGCATATATTCTCTACTTCCTCTACATTGGTTTAACGTAATACCAGAAGACATCAACTTAGAGCTTAGGGTGTCAAAACAACTGTAGAAAAAATTTAGAAACTATTTTTGTTCAAGAGTTGCAGACGACTGGGGCGTTAGGCTGCGATAGATGATTTGAACAAACTATTTATATAGAAAAAGTATAAGTAAAAAAGTTATTATGAGGTGAAAGTGCTAAGCCACTATGACTATATAGACATATACAACAAATAATTAATGTACTGTAGTTTTTATGTGCAATTTCCCAATTATAAATGTACTACATTTATGAATGAAGTCATTGATGATGGATTATAAATTTTGGTGAATAAGTTATACATTCTCACATACAAAAAGACATCATTTTAATCAATCTGTAAAATAGTAAATACAGTAACTACGTTTGTCATTATCACACTACAATAACCACCCAAAAACTCGAACCTGACATTAGTTCTAGATACTGCATTTCATGAAATTATCTATTCAAACAGCGGACAACAAGAAATATATACTACCAAAGGTGTGTACCCCGCTTCTCGATGCTGAGAGTTAACTTTTAGAGTTTACTTTTAGTTAAGAATAAAGTATAATTGATGATTGTTTAGTAAGCTTTATGGTGGCCTTAAAACCCCTGTGTCAGTTGATGGGTCTTAAGCCCAACACCAACTTTCTGAATTCTTTTTTTTTTATCTTTATTTAAGAAAATACAATATAAATCATATATACATAAGTTTTACAAGGCAATACTACATTATAATTCTCAGTGAACAAGTGTTTCATTATCACAGAACATGATCTTTAAAATCCCTGAATGTTATACTTATTTTTCTTTAAATGGTTTACAAAAATTGGAGATTATATTCATTAATATACAGGGGAAACTTTCTGAATTCAGTTACCGTCATGATCAATTAAACTCCACGAAACACCAAGACAGTTTCTAATGTCTCAACCTTCCAAAGCAGCCTATTCAGTATACAGATTACCTTAACTGGAAATAATCTTTTCTACACAAAATGATAAAACAGCCTTGCAACGTGCATAATTATACAATAACCAGCAATAATATATTCTTATAATCTCAGAAAGTCTTGCACAATTAAATAAAATATCAAGCAGCGAGTGCGTCCAGTTTGAACCGGGGACTTTCTAGGCTTCATCTACGCCATCTTATGTTATGAAAGGTTCTGTATACAGAATCTTAAAGGATTTGGTTTGTACGATGTCTACGAGAAACCAATATACACCATCTGTGTGTGTAGAGTAGGGAATATTTCCAGTTGTTACTGAACATGGTGTTTAGAAGAAATTGTTCTTGTATGGTGTCTATAAGAAACCGATATTTGTCTATTTGCGTACCGATACATTGATTAATAACCATCCAACATCACTCGCTACTGAAACAGGAAAAAAATGACAAGAGAATATTCAAACAAGAGTATTAATCATAAATGAATAATACTCAGAGACAGTGGAATATACAAACTATATGGGTCGCTAAAGCAAATTACAGATATTCCGCGGCTTTTGGTTAACTGACATTTGCTTTGATGTTGCTGTAACTTGCCTATTGTTTATGGCTGGGTGGTTTATAGCATAGTGTTCTGTTTATTGGTGAAATCCTACCTTTGCAGGGATTCTGTTCTTGAACATGTAGTTTATGCGCAATATTAATTTACATTTTTACTTTCTTTTTTATATGTCAATTCAATTCTTTATTATATGTCAATTCTTCTTTATATGTCAACTTCTCTTCAGTGTAATAATCCCTCATTGCTTCAACAATACTCACTATCCTACATGTTCATTACTTCTGTATTCTTCATCAGTAATTTAGACTACCAAGGAAATGTAGCCTAACTGAAACATTAAAGGAATTCGTTTCTTATTTCATTATGTGGTGTTTTATCATTTTATAACTCTGAAGAATGTCATAAATCAGTATTAATTTATCAGTATATTGAAAGATGGTAACTCAGCACTGTGAAGATATACTCTGTCTTGTACCTAATACAGATATACTCCAGGATATGTCTGCTGAGGGTTGGTACGCAGGATGTCTGCTCTGGGATAGTGTTTAGATCACCAAGTTCCGGGATAGTGTTTAGAGCACCAAGTTCCGGGATAGTGATTAGAACACCAAGTTCCGGGATAGTGTTTAGAACACCGTGCTTGAACAATGTCACTCTGTCTCTGATATCGGCGAGTTTCTCTAGTGCCACGCGTTACATGGCACTCTCCTAGTTATACCCAAGTTGTGACTGCGGGAGATTGAGCTTCAGCACTTGGGTCTCGGCTCTCGTCCTTCAAGCTGCTGGTAGAATAAGTTCCTGAACGTATATTGTGCTGTCATACCCACGTATGATGCTTCGTGGAGCCTGTCTGTGCCATTTCACTATATTGAACATTTACTGTCAGTGAAATTTTGTTTCTGTGTCTTTGTCATCCGGGTTCTTAGTTTTCAACAGTGCCTCCTTTACTTAACAATATTTACCTAACAATGACTAAAGGAGAGAGAAGTTTAGGTCTTAGTGCCCAGTCTTATTGTGTAACTGGTGCGTTATTTTAACTTTACTGCGTTCGAATTATTTTGCGTATGTGGCCATAAAGATGTGGATGGAGATGGATTCCGTGACTTCTTCCTTTCGTGTATTCCACTTGTTGATCACCCGTACACTGTAAAATTATTTATTTACATTTCTCTGATGCATTTTCATTTCCAGCTTTCATTTGCGTCCTCTTGTCCTATTTCCTCTCATGTTAAAGAAGCTGTCATTTTCCCACCGTGTCAGTTCTCCTCAGTAACTAGTATGAAGTGGTCATGTCCCCCTCTCTGTTCCTTTTATATCCTTTAGGGTTGCTGGACTGAAACACGTCCTCTTAATTCCTCTTAATTCCTCTTAATTCAGTTAATATTCTTGTTGCAAAATACGGCACTTCTTACACGTATTTTTTTGTTCTTCGCATAGTATGTTATTAACTAAGAGAGAGAGAGAGAGAGAAAGAGAGAGAGAGAGAGAGAGAGAGAGAGAGAGAGAGAGAGAGAGAGAGAGAGAGAGAGAGAGAGAGAGAGAGAGAGAGAGAGAGAGAGAGAGAGAGAGAGCGAGCTACAGATATGGGCATACTCTACTTCATGCTTCATCATTTTATGAAGAATCACTTGTGATATGAAAGAATATTGGTATATGTATGTATATATTCATATATACATATAACCCAACCTATAACTTAAGTCAGTAATTCATATTC